AAGATGTGTATTGGGAGAACATAAGAAAGACTTGATGGCTAAGATCATCTAAAGTGTAAAAGCACAGCAGACTGCATTGCACCTCCAACATAAGGCAAATCTGTTAGGATAGAGCATTTTTTAAATGCTCAAATGGTATCAAAATACTATATTTATAGAACTAATACTCTATTAAATAAACAGCCAGGATTTGCTGTTAGAAATAACTCTTGTGAGTTTTATATTGTGCTTTTTGGGTTTCTAATCATTTCAGCAGTAGTATCTTTTAAACAGCAGTATTACCTATAGGCAGTGTGCTTCAAAATGTGAACTAACTTGTTGAAATTGTGCTTTAACATCTATGTGATTAGTGTATATTTGCTCTCCATTAGCAAAACAATTCATTGTTAGGTAAACTTAAATAGTGCAAATTGCAGTTCTGTGAGCATTATTCCCTACTGGATATAAACTATGGTCTAAAATACATAGCAGCAGCAGCTCAGCCTGTCAAGAAAATATTTGGCAAGTTGCTGAAAATGTACTAGCCATTATTCTGTGTGTTAAACATTTACTAGTTCTGTTCAAAGCAGAGCAGAAATTAGACACTAAGACTTTGTGAATTTTTGTTCTTATAGCAGATTGCTGTTTATATGTACGTAAGAATTTTATTGCTTATGTGGCATACAATATTTATAACTATATACTTTATAGAAGTACAGTATTAAAGTCAGTGGTATATATTCTGCACATACCCTGTGAAATGTGCTGTCATATGAAATAAATATATGTCTTTACCATAATGACTCCTTATAAAAGGGAAGATTTTCTTTGTACTGTATGAATTTCATGACATTTGGAGAAAATAAATTAGCTCTTTCCATGGGGTGGGGGTTGGTGCACATGTATCGGGGCGTGAATGCATAGAGGGGCAGAAATAAACCTCAGGAATTGTTCCCCAGGTGCCATCTACCTTGATTTTTGAGACAGAATCTGCCCCACTCTCTGATCTGGAACTGGCCAGGAAGCCCATGATCTACCCATCTCTACCGCCCCAGGGTTGTAGTGCCTGGCTTGCTTTAAAAAAAAAAAAAAAAGAATTCTGAGGATCACACTCACTGGCCCTTTTTCTTTAAAATTATTTTTTAGTCAGCATATGAAATAATGGGTTGTGTTAGTTTTCATGTGTGTATATCATTAGACTTTGCTCATATTCACTCTTCCATTACCCCTCCATTCCTCCAGCTCATCCCCACTGGTCCTCTTTCTTCTACAAAGTACATTTTTGGCATCTTTATCAGAAATTAGGTGCCTGTAGCTGCATGTTGAATCTGGATCCTCTATTCTATCTGTCTCTTTTTGTGGAGCACCATACTGATTCTGTTACTGTGGGGCTCTGCAGCATAATTTGAAAACAGTGTGGTGGTATTTCCAGCATTGATTTTTCTGATTCTTGACTATTGGGGTCTTTGTGCTTACATATGAAGTTTAAAGGATTGCCTTTTCTGGGGCTGGAGAGATGGCTCAGCGGTTAAGAGCACTGACTGCTCTTGCAGAGGACCCGGGTTCGATTCCCAGCACCCACATGGCAGCTGTGAACCATCCTTAACTCCAGTTCCAGGGGAATCCGAAGCCCTCTTCTGACCTCCGTGGCACTGCACGACACGGGTGCACTCACATACATGCAGGTAATACACTCATACACGTAAATTAAAAATAATAATAAAAAATTTTAATTAAAAAAAAAGATTGGCTTTTCTCTTCTGTGAAGAATGTCATTGGAATTGTGATGGGGATTACACGGAATCTGTAGATTGTTTTTGGTAATATAGCCATTTTTATAATATTAATTCTGCCAACCTATGAGGATCAGAGGTCTTCCCATGCTTCTAGTTTCTTATTCTGTTTCTCTCATGTTTTAAAGTTGTCATTGTAGAGGTCTTTCATCTCCTTGGTTATATTTACACCTAGGTTTTGTTTGCTATTTTTATTTTTTAAGCTATTATGAATAGGAGATTTTCCCCCTGACTTCTTTCTCAGTGTGTTCATTATTAGAAGGCTAAAAAAAAAGCTGATTGGAGTCAGGTGTGGTGGTACATGCCTGTAAGCATAGCACTCAGGAGGCCAAAGCACAGTGGTTGCTGAGAGGTCAGGGCTAGCCTAGTGAGTTCAAGACCAACCTAGAATGCAGAATGAAACACTGTCAAAAAAGAAAGGAAAAGCTGTTGTTTTCTACATTGATTTTGTATCCTGTTACTTTGCTGAAGGTGTTTATCAAATCTAAGAGTCTTATGGTTGAGTCTTGAGGGCTTTAAGTACAGGATTGTATTTTATACAAATAAGGATAACTTTACTTCTTCCCTTCTTAAGCATATCCATTTTAACTTTCCTACCTTATTCCTCGAAGACTTGAAAGCACTATACTGAAAAAGAATGGAGAGAATTGAGCTAGAGAGATGGCTCAGGGGTTAAGAGCACTGGCTGCTCTTGAGGAGAACTCAGGCTTGATTCCCAGCACCCACATGGGGTGGCTAACAACCATCTGTAATTCAGTTTCAGGGGATCCAGTGCCCTCTTCTGACCTCTTTCGGCATCACATGACACCTACCTACATGCAGGCAATGCACCTCATACACATAAAATAATGGGGTTTTTTTGTTTTGTTTTGTTTTGTTTTTTAATGGAGAGAATAGACACCTTCATTCCATTCCTGATTGCAGAGGAAAGTGCTTTCCGGGTTTTCCTATTTAGTATAATGCTGGCTGTGTAAGCCCTTATTATGCCATCTCCCTTCCTAGCTTTCCTAGCTTCTTCAAGGCTTTTACCTTGGAGGGATGCTTAACTGTCAAATTCCTTTTCTGCATCCATTGAGATGATCCTGTGATTTTTACCCCTGAGCCTGTTTACAGGCTATATTACATTTTTTAATTTGCATATGTTGAGTTATCCTTGCATCTCTGGAATGAATCCAATTGATCATGGTGTTTGATCTTTTTAATGTATTATTAAATTCAGTTTGCAGGTGTTTCAATGAGAATTTTTGTTTCTGTGTTCATCAGGGAAATTAGTGTGTAAGATTTTTTGTTCTGTCCTTATCTGGTTTGTGTATCAGTAATACTGGCTTCATGGAATCAGTCTGGTGGTGTTCCCTCCCTTTCTAGTTTATTGAATACTTTGAAAAATATTAGTTCTTTAAAGGTCTGATAGAATTCATCAGTGAATTTGTACAGTCCAGGGCTTGTGCTGTCATTGTAATATTCTATTACTGCTTTAGTCTTGTTGCTGGAAAGAGATCTGTTTGTGTCCCCTTGATTTGATTCCTAGTCATGTGTCTAGGAATTTATCCATTTCCATCTTTCGGAATATAGGAGTTTATTTTTATTTTATGTGTATACGTGTATTACCTTCATGTATGTAAGTGCACCCATGTTTTGCCATGCCTGCAGAGGACCGTTGGATCCCCTGGAACTGGAGTTTCAGACAGTCGTTAGCTGCTATGTGGGTGCTGGAATTCAAACCCAGGTCTTCTGCAAGAACAGTCAAGTGTTCTCAACTGCTGAGCCATCTCTCCAGCCCCTGGAAATATAGGTTTATTTGTCTTTGGGTTTTTGTTTTTCTTTTTTGGTTTTTTGTTTTTGTTTTTGTTTTTTTTGAGACGGTCTCCCTGTAGCCCGAGCTGTCCTGGAACTCACTGTGTAGACCAGGCTGGCCTTGAATTCATAGAGATCTGCCTGCCTCTGCCTCCTGAGTGCTGGGATAAAAGGTGTGCACCACCACGCTCAGCCTAAGAAATACATGTTTTAAAAGTATTCCCTTATGATCCTTCACACTTCACTGGCATGTGTTGTAATACCTCCCTATGTTGTTGACTTTCTTGTCTATAATTTTCACTTTATTATCCATATTTCAAGTTAATTTCATTACTTTATTATTCTGTTTGTGTCCTCTTTGAAGCCATGGATTATTTTAACAAATAGACTTAACAAATTCTTTGTGTGATATTTCAACGATTTCAGTATCTTTGACTTGGATAATTGAGGACTTACCTTTTAGAGGAATCATATTGCCTTGCTCTTTCATGTTTCTAGTTTTCTGTCTTATGGTTTGGCTATCTGTTGGTAGGAATATCTCTTTTAATTGAGGATCGTAGTAATAAGCAGCCTCCACTTAAGGGCTTAATCCCTAGTGACTACTCAAAAGGAGAAAACCACTTTAACAGCTATAGCACCAACCAAATACAGACAGAAGTACACTTAACATTCAGAGCCAGTTACTGTTGCCACTAATGACCATCCTTAGAGGAACAAAACTACAGAAACAGTATAGATTGGTGGTTTGAAGAGGTTAAGGACTTGGAAAAAGGATGGGAAGGAAGAAGATTGGTATTCAACAAAAACCTTGGTTCTTAAATAGTTGAATTGTATTCATTAACCTTTAAGTTAATGGGCTGGAGAGATATGACTCAGATTGCTGCTTTTCCAGAGGACCAGAGTTCAGTTCCCAGCACCCATGTTGAGCAGCTCACAACTATAGCTGAAACTATAGCTTGAGGGTATCTGATGTTCTCTTCTGGCCTCTGAACACTCACACATTATGTGGCATATAAAAACACAGACACATACACATAAAAATCCTTTTAAAAGCAGGGGCTGGAGAGATGGCTCAGTGGTTAAGAGCACTGACTATTCTTGCAGAGGACCCAGGTTCGATTCCCAGCACCCACATGGCAGCTACAAACCGTCCTTAACTCCAGTTCCAGGGGAATCCGAAGCCCTCTTCTGACCTCCGCAGCAATGCACAACACGGGTGCACTCACATACATGCAGGCAATGCACTCATACACATAAAATAAAAACAATAAATATAGTATTTTTTAAAAAGCTAAGTTACAGATAAAGAATTGGGTTGTTTTTAAAATTAAGATTAATCATAGATTTATGTGCAATTGTAAGAAATAATACAGAAAGAACTTATGTGTACCCTTTACTCAGTTTCTCCCATTAAAAATAACCTGCAAATATTACTTTTTTCATGGCTGGGACAAAATACGTGACAAAGCGTTGGGTTGTGAGGAACAATAACCAAAGCTGTTCTCTGGTTTCCAGGTACATGCAGGCACATGCATCCATATTGTACGTGCATGAACATGCATATTTACACACAGAAAAATCTGTTTACCTTATGAACAAGAAATTTGCCTTCTAGATTCAACATATGGAACACAAGGTGCACTGTTTGTAATGGTGAAAACTAGAAATAAACATGAATGAGGGGCATATTAACAGGGTGAATAATACACAGCAGTCAACACAAGTGGCTAGCAAGTAAGGCTCCTGGAGCTATAGATGCAAATTATAAAACAAGAGTAAGGCAGAGCTGAGAAGATAAAGAACTGTTCTTTAGGGACACGTGCTAAAGGTGTAAATAGACGGCAACACATGATAAACACTGCATTAAATTCAGAATAGCAAGAAGTTCTCTGGCTAAGCGGACAGGATTAGAGAGCAGTATGTGGGAGCTTTAACTGTGTCTGCCATGTGTTAGAACTTAAGAGTTATGAACAGAGTAAAACTTGCCATTTTCCTCCAATGGGTGTCTGATCCAGCAGCTTTCATGAATCACCCAGACCAGGAAGTTGACAACTAGTGGATTACTTGAAAAGCTATAAATGATAAGATGCCCTTCATCCTGGAAAGACAACAGTGCCTAAAATACACAAACTAGCAACAAAGCACAAGACCATTAAGTGTCATCATTAGCAACAAATTAAGAACTAGCTTAGCTAGCAAGGTTTTGCCCCTTTGCAGTTTGAGCAATCCAACATACAGCCAACCAAGTGTAGCCCTTCAATGGACCTAAACTTGACGGGCAAACTAAGTTTGCGTGTTATTTGGGGGTTGGTTTTTGAGAATTTAATTTCTGAAAAAAATCCACCCTTAATATTTTGAGATCTGGTGGTTGTTTGATTACACGTGGGGGAGCTAATGTTCAATATAACGTTCCCCAGGAAAGTATGAATTCACTCCGCGTTTTCACATGAGATCTAATTAAATCCCGGGATTAAAGGCTTTCGCCGCCACGCCCGGCTCTGATAATCACTCTAAAACATCACAACTAAACACAAACTCCCAAATACCGTTTAGCAGTCTGGAATCATTTCAGGCTACAGACCACAATTACCCTGGTTAGTTGACTTTATACCTTTATTTGAATTTCCCCTGGCCATTTGTTTTTGTTTCCTCTTTGTCAAATAAAAGCATCAGGATGCCGGGAGGGTCTGGATCCTCAAAGATGTGCCAGTGCCAGGAAGCAGCAGCGCAGGACCTGGTTGCCTATAGAATTGAACGATGCTTGGCTGCAGGCTCAGGACAGTCGGCCGGCCTGGCGGCAGCAGCAACAACGTTTTAAATGATCCTAAAATCGCGAATCCGAGTCATCACACTAATAAGTGCTGGCATCGCCTAAGTATGGGTAGTAAAAACGATCTAAGCAGCGCAGGCCACGATTGCTTCAACCTTACCCTGACCGAAACTGGAGACACTTCCGGAAGTTGAGAGTACCTGCGGCGGAAACAACGCAGGGATTTGTCGAGTTAAAGAGTGGCTTGCGGAACCGGGCTTGGGTGGTACCGAACACCTCACCCTTTCCCGACCCAGCAGTCCCCGGCCCGCCCCCAAGCTCCGCCGCTTTATTTCCTGGACTGGCATCTGTCCGGCCCCAGGGCGGTGCGCACGCTCTCCTGCGGCTTCATTTGTTTGGGTTGTCCAGACAACCGCTACTTCCGGTAGCGGGACTCTGTCTACGAAGGTGGATCAGTCTAGTTGGTGCGGGTAAAGGCTCAGGCAGCACTTGCATAGGGAGTGGATTGCGGGGTCTTAGAGGACCGCAGCTCTCCTACCCTCGGGTTCTGGCCATGCGCTGAAGGCCCCTCCCACTCAGTGCTTAGCTGTTGCTTCTGGCAACAGGCACTTCCGCGAGCGTCCGTCGTTTTTTTTGTACCGGGTGGGCGCGTGCACCCGCGTTCCGGTGGTTCGGGCCCCGAGCAGCCGTTAGTGGGCCGCTGCTGTTCCTGTCCCGCCGTCCCTCAGGCCTGTAGGCCTCGCGTCTCCGTGCTAGTCGCCCTGCCGCCCCGAAGGTCACCATGGTGGTACTGCACGTGAAGCGAGGTGACCAGAGCCAGTTTCTGCTGCAGGCGCCAGGGAGCATCGGGCTGGAGGAGCTCACGGCGCAGGTGATCCGTGTCTACAACGGGCGGCTCAAGGTGCAGCGCCTGTCTGCAGGTGCGGCCGGCGCGGGGCCCCGGGAGGGTTGCCGAAGCGGGGGTGACCGGGGTGGAGTTGGGCTGGCAACCCCGGCTCGGAGGTGGGCGATGGATGAGACCAGGCCTTTAGAGTCAGGGTTTGGGGTGCCCGTAAGTGGGAATGGGCTGGGAACGGGAAGATCAGCCTGGTAGAGTGGAATTAAGCAAGTGTGAAGCTAGGGCGGGGGTGTTACAAAAGGAGGTGAGTAGTTTGAGACTTTGGAGATTTAGAGCTTCCCGTAGTGACCCCTGGCTTTGGGACAGCCCTTGCGACATGAGCGAGCCTTAGTGTGCTTTTCTGTCTCCTTGGAAACACAGGCCATTCTCTCCTGTTAAAGCGTGCAGTCACCCTCTGAAAACGCCAACAGCTCCATTAGCCTAAAGGATGAAAAGAAGTATCTCCTGTTCATGCTGTTCGGTCTGCATTCACTAACCAAAGTGGCTGTTAAGCATTTGAAATGTGCCTGATGTGACCAAGGAAACGAATACTTCCATTTATTTCATTAAAATTTTAAAGTCCTATGCAGGAGTTGGGGATGTAGCTCAGTTGGTAGAGTGCCTGCCTTGCATGCACGAAGCCCTTGGTTCAGTCCTCAGAACCTAGATAAAACCAGATGTGATGATGCATACCTGTAATCTAAAGGAGGATCAGGTTCTAAGTCATCCTTGGCTGTAGAGCAAATTTGAGGCAAGCCTGGGCCACATGAGATCCTATCTGAAAGGGGAGGGGACAGAGAAATAGTTCAGTGGTTAAAAGCATCCACCCCAAACCTGACTTGAGTTCCAAGACAGGAACCCAAGTGGTGGAAGGAGAGACCAGGACACCCATTCACACACATAACCCAGCCATCAAGAAATAAAGTAACAAAAATAGATTTAAAGTTACATGTGGATAGTTAACCACTGCATTAAACAGTACAACCCTAGAACTGAAAATGATTCGGCAAGTGTGGCCTAGAATATTATTGAGTGGTTCTATAATTATGTATGCATATATAATTATACAAAATAAGCTATTTGTGTGATTAATATATAACTAAGCTTATATGGTTTATTAAGCAATAAGTATGTTATTTTTGTACTGTGGAGAACTTCTTGAGGGTCTTGATCTGTTCATAGAGCATATATGCTTTTTTTTTTTTTTTTTTTTTTTTTTTTTTTTTTTTTTTTTTAAAAAGGGTTTCCCTTAGGGTCTCCCTGTAGACTGTCCTGGAACTCACTATGTAGACCAGACTGGCCTTGAACTCACAGAGATCCACCTGCCTCTACCTCCCGAGTGCTGAGATTAAAGGCATGCACCACCACGCCCAGCTATATGCATTTTCTTAATTAAACTTAGTTGCTCTCAAAACAGGAGCAATATTAAATGTCACTTTATTTATTTATTTATTAAGACAGGGTTTCCCATAGCCCCAGCTGGCTTGGAACTCACTGTGTTGACCAGGCTGGCCTTGACTCAGACAGATATTAAATGTCACTTTATTTATTTATTAAGACAGGGTTTCCCATAGCCCCAGCTGGCTTGGAACTCACTGTGTTGACCAGGCTGGCCTTGACTCAGACAGATCAACCTGCTTCTGCCTCCCAAGTACTGGGATTAAAGACATGTGCTACCACAGTTGACTTAAATTTTAAAAGTAAAGCATTTAGGGTAGGAAAAGAACTCAGGGTCGTCTTTAATATCATAAATTGAAACTATGGTGCTGAGTGTAAGAGGTTTGTGGGTGAATTTAGAACCCACTGATGTATGCTACAGTTGTCATTGTCAGCTGAGACTCAGGCAGGCCACAAGCACTCTGCCATAGGAGGCAAGGTTGAGTAAAAACAGCCCCTTGTCCCCAGACTGCTTAGTCTGGAAGTAGGGAGCTGCAGTACACATTCCATCAGTGTTAGAACATTTATTCTGTAGTCTTGTATTGGCAGTGGTCACATGATATCTTCCCAGTGTTATGGGGATACCTAGTTCCACCAGTCTTCCTCCCAGGAAGGGAGAAAGGAAAGGAAGCAGTGTTGCACAATTCAGAGATAGGCTGGTTTGGAGTTGAACATGTATGAGATAGGAAAAATATAAAGCCATGCATTTGAAAAGTGACCATGATATGCTCTCTCTCTTTTGTGCAGTATAAGTTGCTCTAAATCCTTCCTAGTGATTTACCTAAAGTATTTATGAAGTGTTCATATAAAGTTTTGTGTCAATGGGTACATGTTTGTGTGTGTATGTGTGCATGTGTGTGTAGGGCAGAGGTCAACCTTAGGTGATGTTCCTCTTGTTACATCAACCTTGTTTTTTGAGACAGGGCCTCTCATTGGACCCCCTTGGAGTCTAGGTATTGTAATGATCATGATTCAGTGATGTCTAACTTTCCATTATGTTGTAGAAATGGAAGAGCTAGCAGAACACGGCATATTTCTCCCTCCTAACATGCAAGGACTAACTGATGAACAGATTGAAGAACTGAAATTAAAGGATGAATGGGGAGAAAAATGTATACCCAGCGGGGGTTCGGCTTTTAAAAAAGATGACATTGGACGAAGGAATGGGCAAGGTAATGGAACCTTTCTCATCTGTGTCTGTGCCTGAGTGCTCCAGTAAGTATGAAGGCAGTCCTTTAAATTAAAGAATCTGGGCCAGGTAAGAGCACTTGCCACCTGACAACCTGAGTTTGATCCCAGGATTCTATGATGGAAGGAGAGAAACAGTTCCCAAAAGTCTACATGTGCTCCATGGCACATTTACGCACACCTGTTCCCACATCACACACACACACACACACACACACACACACACACACACACACACACACACACACATACAATTGAAAGAGTCCACCTTCATCATTTCTATGCAGACATGGGAAATAGCTGCTCTGTGAAACACCTAATGGAAAAACCCAATCCAGGATAATCCGGTGGAGAAGGAAACCTTGGCCTTCTCGTGCTGGCTAAATTGCAGCTGCCTCATCAGTGCCGTAGATGAACCTACAGCTATTGCTGTAGGCCAGAAATGGATGAGCACCTGTAATTTCGTAGATTTCAGTCTAATACACTCTGGCAGCTACTTCTTGAAATATGTTGGAGGTTAGGTGCGGTTACTGTTTGCAGCTCTGGGGGTTTATTTAGAGACTGTGGAAGGAGGCATGCATGCCAGCACTTACGTGAAGATCCTGCCTTAGTACAGGGTAAAATGCCGAGGAGACCCTCCTCTTCCAGAAGTGGCTGATGGTGTAGCTCATAGGCCTATCTATCTACAAATGTGCTGTTCCATATTCATAGCTGTCCTGGGATGCATGTAGGCTGCAGGTTAGACGCAATTGGTAGAATTTGAAAGGAAAAACATCCTTTTGATAGCTTGTACCCTTTAACACAGTAAAAAAAAAATTTTTCATTTCATTTTAGGCCCCAGCCAACCTTGAATTTATGATTCTCCTGCCTCAACCTTCCAAGTGCTAGAATTACATGTTATGTGCCACCATACCCAGCTTTAAACACTGTAATTGAAGATGTAGCAAACATCTGAGTATATATGTCCCCAAAACACTGTTAGTAGCAGAAGAAATATAAAGTATTTCTGCAAAGCCTTTATAAGCTCAAGTATATATAATGTGAATTCCTGCTGCTATTTCCTTTGAATTCCAACCTTGGAAATGCCTAGTTGTATTCCACAGATTTTCATGCCTAAATTCATTCTAGATCTGGAGAGATTCTTTGATGTTTGGAAGGAATTACATCAATGGAAAAAAAAAAAAAAAACATAAGGAGCAGTTGATTCATTTATCTTTAAGTCAGTATGTTCTTAACCATTTTTCTCTTCGAATACAAAGCACAATTTTTAAAAATTATTTATTTAACAACCACATAATTAGAAGAAGCATTTCATTACAACAGCATTGACATATTCAATAACAATTTCCAGAGCTAAGATGCATCTCTTTCAAAATTGGCTGTAAATTTTTAGGTTTAAAGTTGATTTAATACAGTTTTAGAATCTTGTACTCAGTATAAACCCTATAAGACATAAAATTGAATGAGGTTTTAACCTTTAAGAAAGATCTCCATTTCATTAAAATACAGTTTCATAAAAAAAAAATTCATTTTTAATGCAATTAACGCTTGGATGTTTGCACATGTGTTTCTAATCTCTACATAACTGATTAATTACTAGTCACAGTCAGTTACTTTCTGAGATCCTTGGCACCTGAGCATGGATATAAAATCATCAGGTAGATTTCAGTGGTAATGTTTTTCACATCTACTAATTAATAAGGAGCAAATTTTTTTTGCTTTGAGGTATTTTTTTAATTTAATCACATGATTAGGAGAAGCATTTCATTACAGCTTTAACATATTCAGTAACACATTGCAGAGCAAGGATACAGCTCTTTCAAAAGTGGCTGTAAATTTTTAGGTTCACAGTTGAATTAATACAATTATACAATATTGACCATTGACCTCAGCATAAAGCCTTTAAGACAAAATATTGAATGAGTTTTTACCCTTTAAAGAAGCTCTCTGTTTCATTTTAAAATATGCTGTTTCCTACATTTTTAATGCTACTAGTGCTTAGATGTTTGCACATTGTCTTTAATCTCTTATGTATCTGATTATTACTAGTCACAGTTGGTTACACTCAGATCCTTAGTACCTGAGTATGGATATAAAGTCATCAGGTAGATTTCACTGGTAATGTTTATCACCTCTACTATTTAACATGAACTAAATTTTTATGCTTCCTCCGCAAATATAAGTCTTTTTTAAAATTTTGTTGATTTTTTTTGTGTGTGTATCATACAGAACATCCCACACAGTCTTACTCATCTGTATACCCACTTCCCAAATGGCACCCTCCTATAGCCCCTCCCCCATTGGAGCCCATATACTCTGTCATCCCTGTTACTATCCATTGTGTGGTCGGCACCCCCAGCCATTCCCCAGTGGTTGCCCATCTGCTGAATCTAGTCAGCCTATCTAGAGATCCTTGTTTTAGGAAGATCAGCTGTTCCTCTTCTAGCAGCAAATCGGTTGTC